TTAACCCCCCCCCCCCCCCCCCCCCGGATCCCCACTTCATAAGCAGGAGCTCAGGGTCCCCATCCCCCTCTGTGCCCAGCAGCGTGGGCTCAACGCTTGGCCACGTCCTCATCCCCATCCCTGGAGGCCACGATGCTGTCAATCCACTCAGCATAGGGTGCAATGCGGGTGTAGATGGCTGGCTTCTTGTAGTTGCCACAGACACGAGAGCCAGCCGTCACCACCCCCTCAGCCACACCATTGCAGACCAAAGGACCCCCGGAATCACCCTGTGGAGACAAAACACATTGCTCTCAGGCTGCAGTTTTGGATCAGAATCGCTGCTGTCCCCTCCCAGCCCTCACAGAATGGCCAGGGTTGGAAGGGACCTCAAGGATCACAAAGCTCCAACCCCCTGTCACAGGCAGGGCCACCAACCCAGGCTGCCCAGGGCCCCATCCAACCTGGCTTTGAACACCTCCAGGGATGGACGGGGCATCACAGCCTCTCTGGGCAGCTGTTTCAGCACCTCAACACTCTCATAGCAAAGAACTTCCCCCTGACATCCAACCTCAATCCTGCTTGTCCTGCTGTTATCAACCCTTTCGTAGAGTTGATTCCCCTCCTGTTTGCAGGCTCCCTTTAGGTACTGCAGGCTGCACTGAGGTCACCCCGCAGCCTTTTCTTCTCCAGGCTGAACAAGCCCAGCTCCCTCAGCCTGTCTTCCTAGGGGAGCTGCTCCAGCCCTCAGCTCATCTTTGTGGTTCTCCTCTGCTCCTTCACCCACAGCTCCCTGTCTTTCTTACACTGGGACCCCTCTTCTCACCTGGTGCAGGGATGAAACCCCATCCCACCCCACACCCTCCACCCTCCCCAGCATCCTCCCACTCCTCTCCCCAGCCCCCCCCATGGGATCATCTCCTCCCAGGGCTCCGACCTTGCACGTATCCTTCTTACGGGAGTCGGTGCACATCATCTTCTCGGTGATGGTGCGGTCGTGGCGGGTGCGGTGGTTGCAAAGCTCTCTGCTGATCACCGGACGCTTTACTTCCTGCAGCCGATCCGCTCGCTTCCCGCTGTGTGTCACCGTCCCCCACCCCGCGGCATCGCACAAAGTATCGGCCGCCACCTCCCGGTCCTCGCGTTGGAACGGCAGCACCTTCACGTGTTCGTTCAGCTCCGCTTTTTCCTCCAGCTGCCACCGAGAGAGAAAGGCAGAGGGGTCAGGGGGATGAGACACACAGCCGGGCTTCCTCTTGAAGCCCCCAGGATGCAGCTTGGGGTCGGCATCGTGGGGATGGATGGAGGTGTTGTGACGCGGCTCGGAGCTCCGTGGGATGCAAAGGGGTCGAGGGGGCCAAGAGGAGAAGGAAGGAAGGTGAGCGCGGTGTGGGAGGTGGGGAGGGGGTGAGGGGAGCCCACCTGGAGCAGCAGGAGGTCGTCCCGGTTGTTGTGGATGTTGCTGCCGGGGTGGGCGATTTGTGCCTTCACACCATACAGCCGTTTGTGGGGCTCCGGTTCGGTCAGTGAATGAGCGCCCAGCAGCACCTGGAAGCGTTTATCTCCCCTGTGGGGTGAGGGAAGGGGCTCAGCGTTTTGAGCTGGGGGTCTGCAGGGCCCGGAGTCCCCGTCCCCCCCAGGTGCAGCCCCCCACATCCCCACATCACTCACGTCTGCTCGGTGCAGTGCGCGGCGCTCAGGACCCACTGGGGGGCGATGAGGAATCCCCCGCAGACGTGCTGCCCGTCCAGCTGCAACGAGGCCATATAGGGCCGCAGGTGGGGCTGCGACTCCGACCCCCCCAGGATCCGACCCCGGGGCTGTGCTGGTGCAGGGAGGGGAGAGGCAGCGTTAATTGGGGGACACCGGAATGAGAGACCCCTCGAGATCCATCCCCACACCCTTAGGGACCGCAGTGGGGTTTCCTGTCTCCACATGAGGTCTCCCTTCTCTAAGCGCCTCGATGTCCCTTACAGCCACCCCCAGAGAAGCGCAGTGTGATGCTGCTCTGTGTCACTGTGACCCCACCATGGGTCTCTGCCCACCAACCGAACCCATCTGACAGCCCACAGCCCTCCTGGGGACACTCAGCTCTGTCCCCATCCCAATCCCATGCCATGCTCACCATCCACCACGGCCCCCAGCATCAGGACAAGGACAGATCCAGCAGCAGCGCACGGCCCCATGGCTGCAGTGAGCGGGGATGGGATGGGGATTGGTTTTATATCCAGTTTGGGGCCACGGGGAGGTCAGGAAGGGAAAAAGGAGGGGATTTCCGCAGCGAGGCGAAGCCAGACGTGCTTCAACTCTCCACTATAAAACAGATCAAGCATTCCTGGACAAACAACTTCAGGAGGAAGCAGCCGTTCCCAGCTGCTGGGTCTGGCAGCAGCAGGAGGGGATTTCTGCAGCACTGAGGGGTCGGTGGATGTGGGGATGAAGAGGTCGGGGTGTGCAAGGAGTGATGGCCCCTCTGCCCTTCAACTCGGTGCCACAAAGCAGAGTCACAGCCCTGAGCCCTTCCCAGCACCGCACAGAGCAGTGGGGCAGCACTGGGATGGTTGTTCCAACCCAACCCTACTGCACAGCCCTCACCCCTTACAGCCCATGGGCTGCTGCTCTGTGATGTTAAGTGAAGAACTGAGAAGGGAACCTCAACTGGAACTGCAGGTTTTTGGGTTTATTTTTGCTTTTTATCAGCATGAAATCTCTTGGGGTTTATTTCAGGCTACGGTGCAGTTATCCTGAGCTGCAGCCGTGCCAAAGCCATCGCTCCGGAGTCACCGTGAGCCTGGCGATGTCTGCCTCCATCCACGTGGGAAGGGGGCCCTGCTGGGGGTCTGTGCCACGGGAGCAGAGCCTGACATCGGGATTTCTGCACTCCAGGCCCGGTCAGAGCGGCTTAACTGCAATGATTCGGGATTTAACGTTAAATACGCCAGGAGATTTTTGCCCACTTAGGGTCGAAAATGGAACGAAGGCAAAGCGCAGAGGCACAGAGCTGCTCCCAGATGCCCCGGCCCTGAATTTGGGGAGTTTCCCGAATGCGGGAGCCGGGCTGAGCCTCGGGGCGGTGCCGCGTCTGACCCCACGGGGGGGCAGTGGGGCTCCGGGGGGGTGGGGGGGCCCTGAGCCGAGCGGTGGGGGCTGCTTGGGGGTCAGGCGGCCGATTCCCGGAGGGAGGATGGGGAGGGGTGGGATGGGGTCCCAGAGCGGGGTGGGAGATGGGGTCCGGACCCTCTGCAAAGCCCGGGGGGCAGAGCCGCCTTATGGGGGTGCGGAGCGGTGTGGGGGGGGTTGGATGCGCCGCACGGCGGGGGACATAAAGCAGCACGGGGGCACCGCCCCCACTCGGTGCCACCTCCCCCCCCCC